ATACAAACATCGTTAACTTTTTTTTTAAATTGGCACGTGTAAAACTTTCAATTTAATTTTCTCACCTGTAATCGAAAGATTAATATATTTAACAGAAATTGATATTTTAAAATATAATTCTAACTAGCTTGACAAACAATGTCTTCTCCCCGCTGAAATCAACAATCTCTGACATTCAACTGTTTCCCAAAGCCTACTACTCCGCTACTCGCAAACATCAGCGGACACGGGGTGCAGGCACGGCGTGAAAATGACTGCCTATCATAAGGATCATAGGCGTCGATAACACACCCCATAGTTTGAGTTCGATAACCATTTACTTAACCACATTACTTAAATATGATTATTAAGTTCAACTAATTCATATTATTTAAATATCTAAAATACAAATATGTATTTTTAAAATTAATTCTAAGTTCATCTCATCTCTCTTAAAGGTACTACTTCTCAAAATTTCCCATTAAAAATAGACCATATATACCATATAAAATAAAATAATTGAAAGATCGGGCTACGGAAAATCACACAAATTTTCGGAAAAATTTTGACACACACACACATAATCGTCAATTACTAAAAACTACTATTTTAGTATTTTAAATATTTTAATAAACCCAAAATTGGTACAAGTATTTATAAGATGAAGTTATAAAATTTGGAAGAACTAATGCCACTGACGCACACAAAAAATCAAACGAATACTAAATTTCATTTATCAAAAGCATTCGATAGTCGTGGCTCAACGATAACCATTTAGTGGCACGGCGAGGTTGTCACATATGCTTTAGTATACAAATAAATGAATGATTTTATTCGAATAAAACCATTCGATAGTTGAAATCATTCATTCGGTAACTATTCGATAGTCTAATTCATTCGATAGTTCCCATCGCTAGCAAATTTCTCGCGCCCGCTGTGTATATTTGAGACAAATTGCATTATCTTTTGAGTAATTTAGCTATATGTGTGGTTGGCCAAGCCTAATGGACATATTTCCAACAGTTAGTCATGTGTAGATAGATATACTATTTCATTAAAAAATATTTAGTAACAGTTTTGTGATAAAATATCATTAACCTTTGTGTTAAATGTTTTAATATTACATTGCACTGTGTGAGAATTTCGTAATAAATGTTTATACAATACAATTATTCAGTTTAAAAGAAATTTAAAAATGTTGTTCGTTTTTAATTAATTTCATACGGCTCTGTTTTTTTTTAAATACTCATTTTGATCAAAGTAATCAATGAAAAAAATAATAAAATAATACCAAAGTATTGTCAAGGTGTATTACTGGTTGCATAACTGCATACTGCTAAAATCGCAACGTGCATTGAGGAACCTGGCGCATTCGCCAGAAAGTAAAGACAATTATAGAATTCTTTAGAAAAATCTAGAAACAACCGCCAGGGGGTATATAAGGCCCGCGCTTTGACAGTTGGACAAGTTTAAAGTTTGAAGTTTGAAGTCTAAGTCTGAAGTTTGGAAATACCGCGAAATACCGTTAGAGTAATACTAGTTGCATAAGTGTGTTGTAAATAGTATAAGTTGTGTGTACAGAGTGAAACAAATAAATTCGTTAAGTATTTTATCGTGAGTTTAAATAGTGGACCCACGGAATCCGTAACAGTATGTAGGTTGATTCATGTTCAAAAATTAAATAATGCATTTTCTTAAAGTATTAAAGAAAATATGTATAACAAAGCAAATAAAATAAAAAAATAATATCACGGTGTCCTTCCATTAAAAGAACATAAGTTTGGGTCATATTTCGAAAATGACAGCTCCCAACAAAATCCTAGTTACGCCACTGGATTCTACATGAAAAAAACTCTACGTAATTCAGATTAGTTATAAGACAACTGAGATACGAGGAGAGTCGAATACAACATTCTCAAATTCCCTTGTATTTCAGGAACTAAGGGGGCTAGAAGAAATATGTGATGTGAAAACCGCATCTTTTTTATCTCTACTCATATACGAGAAATCCCATAAAACAAACAATGAAAATGGGACACCCTGTAGGTACATCTTTTTTAATACTATTAAATGGTATTATATATGTATTACAATGCGTATATAACTTGAACCCAGAGCTATGGTCAAATCCATCTTCAACAGTTCTTTCACAATCACGTCGAAATCAAATCCCCCTAACGTGGGAAATTAAAATTACATGACTCATTATCCTAAGCCTTATCTGTTAGCCTTGAAAATCCGCCTCTTTTTTCGGTTCGCGTAATATGGTCTTGATTTCCGTTCATTTTTTTATTATGAATTGTTTATTTAATGCTAATATTTTAATTCTAAATAATAATATTAATTTCAACTGGTTTTTATTTATTTAGAGACTTAAAATCGAAACAGGTATAATTTTAATAATCACCTACCTGGGGAAATTTTTAATTTTTAATTAATGTGTCCTTATTTCCTAATAAAATATACTTAGCTACGAGCGTATCTACCATACGATCGAAAAAAACGGTGTCAAAGACGGCAAAGTCAACAATCGATGATAATTTTGGCGAGGTTAAGCTCTAGACGTCTTTTAATTGGGTATTTCTTAATGACGCTTACTGCCAGCTGTCCTTAAGAAGGTTGTAAGCATGTTGTAAGTTATTTTTATATTGAGTAAAAGTTTTTAAATGGTGTAGTTTGAAATTTCGAAAAAAATATATTTTTTGGAAATACGCAGCCGTCTTTGACGCCGTTTTTTTCGATCATACAGTATAATAGGCAATAAATGTTAATAATCAGAATTGAGTAGAGCTTATGATTGTAAAAAGAATAAAATATACAGGGTGTTTCTTGGAAGTCATACAATTATGCTACTACTAAATAATAAGTTTTTTCTTCTGGGTAAGAAATGTGTGCACGTGTATATATTAACTATACTAATACAAACCGCATTGTCTACGCTTTTCCTTATTGAAATAAAAAAACACGCCATTATTAAGCCTAATTCACATGTAAGTGCGTGCGTTTTGTCTTTGTCCATTGTCTTGTGGCGGATTGAATCATACTTGACGTACTTGTACCCGACATTTACTTGTTCGTATCCTAAGTAATTTTTTTTGTTGTTTAAATAGAACGAGATTTGTTTATTAAATTCAATTTATCTAATGTTTTATGTAAAATTAAAAAACAAAGCAGATTACTGGGGTATTAGATTATTAGAATATATTTTATTTCTTGGTCTTGGTTATACTCAGTCATAAATAGAATCATAACTTCCTTAGGACATTATTAACAAGAATTAAGATGCCATAATTCCCTCTTCCTTTTATAGGTAACAACCATGGAACCATGATATACAATAGAGATTTTGAGTAATAATATAAAATGAAAATGGACACTCATCTAACTACTCAAACTGAACTTGAATTGATAGCAACTACAATACAATAGTAACACCTTTATAATTCGCTTGATATACATATAAATATTTTTTCTCTGGGCTATAATTTTAACATTCTTGTGTCATTATTTTTGGTCTCACCGGATATGGCAAATTATAATTGCTGTGTTATTTGTTCTTTAACAAAAAGAAAAAAACTCAAGGTTGGTATTCTGGGAAACCTTAAAAATGCTCTTCTCTTCTCTTCATTGATTGGTGTCCGATTACTACTGTTTTTTTTTCAGAATTATACTCTGACCATAATAATATATGTATGAATTTGATACTCGTGTAAAATATTCTCTTCATTTTTATGCTACGCTTGGGATTTCGTTTCAAAATTCAACATTCTCATAACAAACAGTGGCGAAGCTTCCACTGATGCGGGTGATGCATCGCATCCCTTCAAAATATTGTAATACATTTTTATTTAAAAAAAGTCACTGATATCTCCTGTTATAAATTAAAATTCGCAATAAATTTATTGAAATAATTGACATATTCGCATATGGTTTATTTAAAATTGTAACATGCGGTTCATAACAACAATTTGGCTTGAAATACCAAGTGTATGGTACCAAATTATTCATAAAAAAATGCTTTTTCTAAATATGTTAATGAGCCACCCTTGTTTAAACAAAAATGTCAAATGACATGTCATTCTATTCAGAGTGTCATTTTCTATCGAATAAAGTAGAAACATACCGAGGGTGCCATTTAAAAATCAAAAATTGTTATCATTTCCGGTGAAACAGGAAGTGATAAAAAACAATTGAATACGTTAATCAATCCTATTGTATGTATGTCATATACTAACATACCAAATCTCGTTTTTTTATCTGAAAAAATAAAAAAGTTATAGGGGGTGAGCCACTGTTGAGAAGCACCGGGTATATTTATCTTAAAACTGAGTACCATCATTGGATATCAATGGAGTTTATTGTAAGTACGTAGGTATGTAAATTAAAACCGATGGTATGCCATTGGTATTCCAGGCGTGTTCCACCCCCGTAAAAATATAGTACCGAGAAAAGAACACAGCGAGCAACCATCGAACAAAAGCTTCACCTTTTTTATCCTTTCGTCAAGAATTAATACTTTTATACGACAGCAGAATGAAATTGCTCATATCGAATTCACTCCATGACTAATAGAATACCATGTAAAACATGGTAGACGTCATACCTTGAATTTCGATGAACTGTGAGACGAAAAAACGTGAATTCTTTGAATGATTACACTCTTCAAGTAATATGAACAATCCTGAACATTATTTAATACTCTTAAACTAATCTTAGGGCACTGTTTCTTATAAAAGAGCTGTATTATAATACAAACACTTATATTTTAATAATTTTGAGCCTCTTTGAATCACGAAAGCCTTTTAGAATAACTCGTTATCTTGATTTAAAATCCAACAGCTTTGCATAATGTCAAAGCCTATTCAAACGTAAATATTTCCCTATTGCATCAAGCCGGTAAATTGTTTGGTAATTAACTATTTCAGGTCGTTTTAGAGCTTGTAATTGAACGTTTTTCAACAGAAAAAAGTAAACAATCATCATTCTAACCTAACTATGCTGACAATACAAACAAAACTTACCTTTCCCGTTGCCTTCTTATAGCGTAGCGTGGCCTCCCTGATCAGATCCTTAACCAGAATATCACCTCTTCCACAGGGAACTACAACGCGGATATTCCCGAAGCACACCGTTACCTTCATTTTCGAAATACCAGCGAAATTTTATTAAAATCCTCGCGTTTTTTAAACTCCGTACAGTTGGGACGCCATGCTGCACCGCACAGGTAAAACAAATTTTAACAACCACCTGTCAAGCAACGGAGTTATCCGATTGGAGGAAATTGTTCGACGGCGGGCGTCGCGGTTTCCACACACACCAAAGCCTGTTCACACTTCAAAATCAAAACAATGCGAGGGAGCCGAATTTGCACAATGCTTTCACTCTCTGGACATTTTACGGACTGAAAAAATTTCAAACGAGTTTTTTCCCCCACTTTTCGCACCTGAGCGCGCCGCCAATCGCCGACGGCGGTTTGAAAGGGATCGGAATGCCGGCCCTCTGGTTGAGAGGTGGAGAACTAATCATGGAATTTAATTGCCGCCATGTTGCCAATATTAAGTAATATTCCTAGGAAAATTATTCATTTTAAGAGGTCTCTATAGTTGTTGAGAGAAGATGTCATCTTAAAATAATTAACCATTCTTCTGTCTAGAATAAAATTACTTTTTTTATAACCAACACTTACCAAGCTGAATTCTAGTAGTATCTATTAAAATTACTTATAGAAAATTTTATATTTCCTCGGTAAGTAAATAAATTGGCAACAGTGCAAATTATCCAAACTTTTTTCTTTTTAAATCTTAATTTTTTCTAAATAAAACATTTATTATTCATAACAATGCGTGGGTGAACAAAACAATGAGAAATAAGTGAAAAACTAGAGCTTGGAAACTAACTAGGATTCTTTAAGTGTACGTAATTGTATCATTATAATTTATCAATTAATTTTCTCTTTTATTTTAGATTACAAACAAATAAACCTCAAGATATTTATGTTCAGTATGTAATAACATGGTCCATTTTTACACCAGACTTAATTTTATTATTGGAATTGCACTAGGAGTATTGCTAGCTGTATATTTTCAGCAGTTTAAGATAAATGGTGGCCAGAAGTCAAGAAAAAATGATTTTTATATCAAAAAAATGGTTTAAAAGAAAAACTGTCCAGAACTAAGATTGCTTGGGATGGATTACGTTATTCAAAACAAATTCATTATTTGAGTCTGAATATTTTATATAATAAAGTAACAATTCTTTGTATAATATTGGTGAAACATCAAAAATACTTGGAAGCTGCTAAAAATACATGGATAAAAGGCTGTAACACTATAAAACCCATAGTAATAGAAACACAAAATAAGATTATGCCTAGAAAGCAATCTAAAGATAACCTCGTGGGGCTTTACTTCATGTAATGTAATAAAATCAAGAGAAATTTTAACTTTTAATTGGCATTTGATAGTGAAAGATACGACATTTGTAATTATGGAAAATCTGAGATTATTACTAGCACCATTGAACAGTAAGAAGGATCATTATTTTGGACATGTGGCTAAGTTTTGGGGTGTAAATTATAACACAGGCGATGCTGGCTATGTTCTAAGCGATGGTGCTTTAGCATCGTTTCAGAAAAGCATTGGCAACGAAAAATGCTTAGAAAATAGTTATTGGAACAGAGAAGACTATTATTTAGGTAAGTTTGATCATGTTTTTTTAGTTTTTTTAGTGTCTTAAATCAGGGTTAAATTTTTTTCAACTTGAGAAAGTAGGACAGTGTTGCTAATGCAATATTACAACAAAACAGCGTCCTGTTGGCTTGGAAATAACGATCGATGATATTTTCCATATAATTTTACATAATAATAAAAATGACAGCGATCCTCATTTCATAGCCATCGCTGATGACTTTTCTATTCTTTAGCTATTGGTTTTAATTTTGTTTTATTTGTATTTAGATTGTGTTTTTGTTTTGATTTTATGTACTTTGTTTGTTTTGCATGCATGTTGTAGGAATATTTAAAATCCTTAAATATCACACCAATCAATGTAATCGACGAGGAATCATTGTCAATGTTTCATCCGTACAGTTGGTATCATGCTTTCTTTCCAGGGGAGGGATATTTTTAAAAACAAAGTGCCAATTTCATAATTGCTGTAGTAAAAAATCTATCAACAGGTAGTTTTGCATCTTAATTCTAGATTTAAATGCCTTTTTCATGATATTAAATTATTTTTAAGGCTGTAGAAGGTGAAAAAATGTACACCTACAATTATTTACTGTACAAATTACAAATTTTTTCAACTGGTACAAAAAGGAAATGCTAAAAAGAAATGTATCAGAAATTGAGGATAAAAAAGGCTTGGAAAAAATAAAACTTTTCAATATATTTGTTGTTCTTGTATAATTTACTTTACATAGGTATGGAAAAAGTTTTTGAAGGAGAGATCAATTATTGATGAAAATATTAGTAGTGATGATTATTACAAATTGTGGGAAAATTTAATACATGATCCCAATTCTTTTGCACAGAACATGAAAAAGGAGAATTTGTTTGACTAATAGTTGGATGGTTGTGATATTTTCTTACTAATAGATATTTTTTACTATTTTACACATATTTTATATAAAAAACATTAAATGAATAATATATTTCTATTTTTTTTTATATTATTTCTTTTTTTTTTTTTTTTTTTTTTTTTTTTAGATATACAGGGGTCTCAAGCTGAGCCTGCATTAGAAGTATCTAGAGAACTACAATATCTAGATTTGAGATTTTTTGCACATCATTGTTTCACAACGAGAACTATCGATTAAAAATACTTTCAATATGGCGGCACTTTACGTTTTACAATATACGTTTTTGTAAAAATTAAACCTTTAAATAACTTAAAATAATAACGATTTATTTTGGGTATGGGAACATGTATAGTTAAAAAGAACGAATTGCAAAAACCTTCTAAAAAAAGGGTTTTTCATTTGAAAAATGATTTATGGTAATTTTAATCTCTCAATTTCATGACAGCCGCCACCATTATTATAAATATCTGAACAATTAAATTTTAAATAGATATCCATATGTCTTCTCTTTATGGTGGCTGTGGTAATCACTAAATTTGACTTTTAGGCTATACAAATTTCTTTGACAGGTCGTAGTTAAATACCATAATATATTTTTTTGTAAATAGATATGTATGCCTGGAAACATTCTATCCTTTTTTTAATTTTTTTTTATAATTAATTACTACAATGCGGCACATCAGGTGTTTTGTTAGCTGATTATAGTACAGGGTCCTCAAGAAATAATAATAATAATAACGGTGGTTATAAGGAAGGAAACTGCTCAGTAGATTTTATTACATGTCCGTATTGCATTATCGAAATACAGTTCAAGTAAGTACAGACATTTTTTGACAATAAGGTAAGTTCGGCAACGTTGCGAGAAATATTGTATTTTGTTGCATTTTTTTTTATTTGTTTTTATATAAATGTTTATAATAATATGGTGAAAAAAAACACTAATACGTTGTTGTCAGCTGTTTGACTTTTTCAGAAGATTATTTTATTTTTAGATTCCTAAATATTTCAAGAACTTGCGACAAGACCTTGTCATTTTCTGAATGCAGCTGTGATTATGTCCTGATCCACGAACCACCATTCAAGGATGCCTCTGGAGAACAGTTCTGTGGTAGATTTCTTCAAAACAACAACGTTTCAGGGTTGGGTTATTTGTCCAGAACCCGGTTTGCCACTGTCGATTTTGTCTTCACCAGAAACTACGGACATGCGTTCACGTTGAAATTTACAGCCAAACGTGAGTTAAAGCATTTATTTCTCTCAAATATTTCAATAATAAAAAGTTTTCTTCTTATAAATTCAACTGGGACATACTGAATTCAATATTTTCAAATAAATAAAAAATATGAAGAAAATATTAAAAACATGAATATTTCCAAAGTCTAACAGAAAATTTCAAAATCAGTTAATTACAATAGCAAATACTTAGCAGTTCATATGATTTAAATTAAACCTGTAAAGAAATATTATCATAGGAAATACCAGCAATACATATTCACATGCATCTTTAAATAAATCAAATATAAATCCAATATCTTCAAATAACTAAATATGAAGAAAATATTACTATGGTAAAATAAAAGAGGAACTTTAATTAACTCCTCATCTGTAAAGAAATTTTACACGATAAATATTACCATGTTGCCGTACTTTCTATAATTTTCCTTACTCACAAATAATTGAAATTCTAGTACTGTAGCGTATTTTTGTCCTTTGTAAATAAAGAAACAGTTGTTTTAGCTATCAGAGATACTGTATATAACTTCTTTCATATGTGAGAAAAAGTTATGTGTTTTACTGAAATTTTTAGCAGTATGGCAACACCACGATAAATATTACCGTGTTGCCGTACTTTCTATAATTTCCCTGACTCACAGAAATATCTGAAATTCTACTACTGTAGCGTATTAGTCCCTTGAAATGTTAAATAATTGTTTTAGGTATCAGGGGGACATACTGTATATATTTTTTTCACATATGTGAAAAAGTTATGTGTTCTACTGAAATGTTTGGTAGTATGGCAACATCGCGATAAATATTGCCATGTTGCCGTACTTTCTCAAATTTTCTTGATTTACAGAAATAACTGAAATTCTACTACTGTCGCGTATTTTTTGTCCTTTGTAAATAAAGAAATAATTGTTTTAGGTAATAGATGGATATTTGAAGGATATCCAAAACTAGATCACATGAACAACATGACTCAAATAGTGATGTCACCCTTTTTTCCGCATTTATATCCGACTGACTTAAGTACAGAATATGTCATCGAGTGTCACAGTCAAGACTTGTGCCGAATAAGTCTAATTTTTACAGACTTTCTAATAGCAGAATCATCCTGAGAGGTACATATTTTGTCCTATTTTTTAAATATATATTTTTTTGAAATATTTTTTGGTGGCTTTTCCGCAGTTTTTTGATTGGAATGGTCAACGCATGTATGTCATATCCGGCAACATCTTTCGACCTCCTGTCATACTCACTTCCGGTCCATCTCTAACAATCCGGTTTTACGCCAACGGAGCAACGAATTTAGGATTCAAAGCCTCCTATTCTTTTATGCTGGGATCTCTGGATGCAAAGGCATTTGAACCAAATCTAGGTAAATATTATTTTACTCTTACTAGGACTTTATTTGTTTTACCATATTCT